GAACTTCCCGTACCGTAACGAAATGTTCGAGGAATACTAAATGTTTTCAAATAGATTATTATAAATATTGTAACATTGTCTAATATTTATAAGAATTATATAAACTGAATTGCAAAGTTAAAATTATTTGTTTAAAGTATATTAGAACTTTAGTCAGAATTAAAAATAAAATCTGAAATATTTTCGATATACATATAATTCTAAAAAAAAAAAAAAATTGGAACAATTTTTTTTTCCAAAATCAATTATTTTGTTAAGACGAGCAGAAAGTTCTTTGAATCATTCAAATCGGACGCTTAGTTCTCTCAAAAACTGCCATTTTTTACATATTTAGCTCCGTATCTTCGAAATGGCTGGGCCTGCCTTTGCCAAAAACTAATAAACACTTCTCCCAATCATTACTAATTGAATGTTTTTTAGATCATTCAAATCGGATACTCTGTTCTCTCAAAAAGTCGATTTCTATTTTCTGCACTCTTTGCTCTTTATCCCCGAAACGGCTGGACCAGCCTTTGCCAAAAACTAATCAGCTCTTTTCCCCATCGATAGGAATCGAATGTTTTTTGAACCATTCAAATCGGTTGATCCGTGCGCCCGAAAACGTGACTGGAAATTTGTATCCATACATACATACACACACACACACACACACACATCCATCTTTTCTGGGGTATGCCAAAACGTTCAGAAACCTTCAAAACGTCGAGAAATGTAAAAATTTTCAATTCCGATTTTTGGCCCATTACAATAACTTACCCTACGGGAAGTTAACTAGTTACTTCAAATTATAATTGTCTTAACAATTCAACTCTGCTAACAATAAAAAATTGAGAGTCGAAGAAACTAAATTATCTAAATATCTATTGAATTATATCTAGAGCTAAATAATTTATACGTTAGTAATTTATATACTGGTAGATAATTATGCCTATATTTCTCTATCTTTTTCTATTCAGGTCTTCATCTTGTAGAAATAATTCAAGACCTTTGCCACCTCCAAGACCACCTGATAGAAAACCGCCTCCTTCACCACAGGATCAGGTAATAATATATATATTTTTTTATTTAGATATATCATAACTCATTATACATTCAAAACAAATAAATAACCCAGCATTCCGTACGCCCACATCTTTATGTATATGACAACATGGAAAAATACAAACATTCTTGAAATATTTTTACATTGTATCTGTCTTTCACTTAATAATTTGTAATAATAATTATTATTATTTATTATTAGGGTTATCATACTTTACCTCCATGGCCTGGTGGAAACGGTATGAGGACCAAAACTTCAATGAACAGTATCAGCCACAGCACTCCTTCGAAAACATATCCTGGTGCTCGCAATACCACAGATTCAAACCTGGATATTGATACTGATGCTATAATTGATAATAGAGTGTCATATGATTCTTCGAGTGATTGCAATAGGTTTTATTATAGAGATTTTGAGAATCATTTTGATATTTTGCCTGATGATTTGCTTTTGAAACTACTCGCTTGGTTGGGATCAGAAGATTTGGCTAAAATGGCCATGACTTGCAGGTAATAAAATAAAACTAAAACATATTTTGTGCAAGTATATATCTATTCTATCTTTTAGGCGTTTTGCAATATTATGCTGGAACCCCGTCCTGTGGGAATGCATTTCCCTGAGATCGGCCAATGATAAAATGCTCAAACAAATCTTCCATATCTTGTGCAAAAGTTCCTTCCCCAAAGTCCCAAAATCCTACAACCAGTCTCGGTTCCTGGATCACCACATGAGGTACATTCAACCCATCCATGGTTGTCCATACAGCGAAGGATGCCAGAACGATTTATGCAGATACGATGATGCTTGTCAGAGTGATATTGGGCATCACGACAGGTGTCATGATTTGCCAATGCAGAATGGCAGGTGTCATGATACTATGTGCAGGAACGATAAATGCCAGTTTAATGGAATGTGCCAGTATAGCGAGAGGAGTCTTAGTAGGTGCTTGAATGATTCCATATGCTCCGGTGGGAGGAGTGAGAGCAAGGATGATCTGGTGGGAGGTTCTAGAATTTGTCTTGAGGTTAGCAGGGTTATGCTGAGTGAGAATTGTACAGTAACAGATAGGTATGGATAAAAAGTCTTATTTGTTATTTGTTGAATATTATGAGGTTAGTTTTATGTTATTTATTATAGGGGTTTGTCGTTGATTGCGAGCAAGTGCCCGGAGTTAACACATTTACAAGTTTCAAACAGCAGAGAGTTATGTACAGATCTTGGTGTTGATGATGTGGTATCAGCTTGTGAAAATCTCAGACATCTAGATCTTACAGGTAAATAAATAAAAAACTAGCTGTAAGTAGAATTCTGTCTTAAGGCAATTACGGCATCGTGCCTTGAGGCAAATTGCTAGAACTTCCCGTACCGTAACGAGATGATCGAGGAATATTAAATGTTTTAAAATAGATTATTATAAATATTGTAACATTGTCTAATATTTATAAGAATTATATAAACTGAATTGCAAAGTTAAAATCACTTGTTTAAAGTATATTAGAACTTTAGTCAGAATTAAAAATAAAATTTGAATTATTTTCGATCACAAAAAAAAAAAAAAAAAATGAAACAAAAATTTTTTTCCAAAATCAATTATTTTGTTAAGACAAGCAGAAAGTTCTTTGAATCAATTGAATCGGACGCTTAGTTCTCTCAAAAACTGCCATTTTTTGTACATTTAGCTCTGTATCTCCGAAATGGCTGGACCTGCCTTTGCCAAAAACTAATCAGCACATCTCCTTATCAATAGGAATCGAATGTTTTTTAAACCATTCAAATCGGATACTCCGTTCTCTCAAAAACTCGATTTCTATTTTCTGCACTCTTTGATCCGTATCTCCGAAACGGCTGGACCTGCCTTTGCCAAATACTAATCAGCTCTTTTCCCTATCAATAGGAATCGAATGTTTTTTGAACCATTCAAATCGGTTGATCCGTACACCCGAAAACGTGGGCGAAAATTTGTATCCATACATACATACACACACACACACACATCCATTTTTTCTGAAGTATGCCAAAACGTTCAGAAACCTTCAAAACGTCGAGAAATGTAAAAATTTTCAATTCCGATTTTCGGCCCATTACAATAACTTACCCTACGGGAAGTTAATAAAGATAATAGAATGTGTAAAACCGTGCCTTAAATAATTATTTTTTAGGTTGCCACAAAATAACAAGGATACAATCTCCTATTGTCTATGTACGAACAGAAAGTTCAAACTGTTTACAACAGAACCAGAACTCTAACAATTCAGTTCTATCGAACGGACATAATCATTCAATCAGCCATCGAGTGACACCAGTTTTACGAACATTGCTTTTACAATATCTGGATTTATCCGATTGCATCAGCCTGGACGATAATGGTTTACATATAACAGTAAAATCTTGTGTGATGTTGACATTTTTGTATTTGAGACGGTGTACTAAAATAACAGGTAAAATAACACATTTTTAGAAAGTTTACAAGTTTTAGAATGTATTGTGAAAATCATGGTTCTCTCAGATGCTGGTGTAAAGCTGGTACCTTTGTATTGTTCTGGTCTTAGAGAATTATCCTTATCTGATTGTGGACGAGGAGTGACCGACTTTGCTCTGCATGAATTGGCTGGTCTTGGAGGCTCTTTGAGATATTTATCAGTTGCTAAATGTGACAGAGTTAGTGATGCTGGTTTAAAGGTAATATATATGACAAATTAATTGTTGTTTCTTAATTAATACTATTGTTTTCCAAAGGTGTTATCCAGGCGGTGCTACAAACTGCGCTACCTAAATGTTCGCGGTTGTGAAGCAGTCTCTGACGACTCAATCATAACTTATCCCGATCCTGTCCAAGACTCAGAGCCCTAGATTTGGGTAAATGTGATGTCACAGATTCCGGGCTGCGTTCTCTGGCAGAATGCTGTCCCAATCTGAAGAAATTAAGTCTTAGAGGCTGCGAAATGCTCACAGATGAAAGTGTGAGATGTGTTGCCTATTATTGCAGAGGATTAAGGCAGCTGAATATACAAGGTTGTTATAAAGTGACGATAGAAGGATATAGAGCCGTTAAAAAGTATTGTAGGAGGTGTGTTATTGAACATAGTGACCCAGGATTCTATTGAGATTATATGAAACGAGTATTGTAAGTGCCTCACAGTTTTATCTATATACATATATGATTTTCAGTTCTTCTACATAATTGAATGCAAATATTTCACAACCATATCATAGATGGTTATAGGAAAAAATATTTACCATAAAGTGACTCAATGAAGTCATTCCATATAGTGCCTTAATGAAATTTTAAGACAAAATAACATATTTCATTTATACATTCGTAATGATAATTGGAAAGTCTGATTACCCATCTGTCTATTATCAATATTCTAAATTTTGACTTTAGTGAGTATTATATAAGTAACTGCCATAATTCTTATTGCATTTTCAGAGAGCATTTACATAAATTAATTGTGCCTAAATATGTTTACTACAATTGATATTTTAAAGTGATATAGAATTGATTTAGGATTTAAATTGCTTATAGGGTTTATATACATATAAGAAAAAATATTTCCAAATGCTGTAAATATTTTTATGATGTCTCATTGATTATGAGAGGTGACATTTGTGCTTAAAATTTTTATATCGGATTTACATATTTATCTATATTTATAGAATAATTTATATGATATTATATTTGTATATATTTGAGATTTTTTATATTTATAATAAAAACATGTTATACGTACAGAGATAGGTGATTTGATTTGATTACTGATAAATGAACAATTAAGTGTCAAATGTTTTAATTTATTGTTGATTTATGTTGCTTTATTGGTCAAGATATAATTTTTTTTAAAATTAAAACAATGATTTCAAACTTTCAAAATTCGCGGTAACTTTCATTTCCTCAACTGTCAACTTGCGCAGGTGTGCCAATACACGAAACCGAAACGAACTGTCACTTTCTCAACCATGGCTGCTTTATTTTAGGTTAATTATTGTAATAGATTTCTTTATATTCCGCTGGTTATTATGCGGGACAACCCTATAACCCTTTATAATTTACAAAAAATATATAATTGATGATAATTAGGGCTCCGTCATGGCCAAAATAATAGCACAAATTATAGTACTTGGAGGGCAAGTTGTGGCCAGAGCATTTGCTAAGGCATTGCAGCAAGAGATTAGGGCCTCACAGGAGGCTGCCAAACGAGCAGGTAAAAGATAAATGATATATACATATAATATATATATATATATATATATATCGAATAATTTTTTATCTTATCATTTCCCCAGGTGGTGGAAGACAAGGCCAAAATCGTGCAGAAGCAAACGCCCGTACAGGAATAACCCTTGAAGAAGCCCAACAAATTCTGAATGTAGACAAATTAGATCCAGAGTTAGTTAAAAAGAATTATGAGTTTCTGTTCGCAGCAAATGACAAAGCCAAAGGCGGTTCTTTTTATTTACAATCTAAAGTTGTAAGAGCAAAGGAAAGAATAGATCAAGAACTAAAAAATGTGGATGAAACTAAAAAAGAGAAAACAGAACCTGCTAAAACATAAATAAAGACATAAGGGATGGCTGACGGATGGTCTAGTGATTTATAGATTATATATATATGTATATATGAAATAGATGTATAATAGTTTATTTTTGTTGAACTAAGACTTTTTACTGAGTTTGCTCATTTAGTGACAACTCCCTTTGGCATGTTTTAATTTGATTAGAAATACAGAACACTAAAGAATACAGAATGTTTGGAATTGATTGAATTAAGGCTTTGCAGCGTGGGGCTGAAATTAATTTGTACACATGGAGGTACTATTATATGTATCAACTACTATGTTTCAAGAAATTCAAATAAAGTAAAAGGATAACTAGAAAACTAAAGAGATAAGTAAAAGGTATGTTCCCATTCTTTTTATTTACTTATTTCTGTAAGTAAATAGTTACTAATATTATTGACTAAAAATTTAGTATTAATATAATTTAACTTTTCATCCTAATTTAATAATTTGAAAATTTACTTTAAGTACTATATTATTTTATTATATAAAAGACTAGTTGCATTTTCATCATTTTTTATTTGCGCAAACAATTACAAATCTATTCTCTCATCATTTTCTCCTTCTGTCTGGCCAACTTCTTTTTGGAGAGCTTCTTCTTGGCGGGTTCCTCTTCAGGAGCCTTAGCCACAGCCTCTTCCTTCTCCACCAAACATACTTCGATGTGGCATGGAGATGACATGTAAGGATTGATTCTACCGTGAGCACGGTATGTTCTACGCCTCAAGCATGGGGCTCTGTTTACCTGGGTAAAGGATAAATGATTAATAATAAGAAATTATTGTGATGTAATTGTAGGTATGTGATATGTTGGTTTGTTTGGAATATCGGGCTGCAAATAAACTGATGGTACTAAGTTTATTTGTGAAAAATCCCAAAGCTTGATCTTAGCTCAGTAAAAAACTGAAGTTTTATCTACAAACTAACACCAGTCAAGCAACTGAGCTATAAATAATACCGACAAGTGTCTATTATCATTGTCTATTATCTTACTTGAATATGGTCAATGTGAAGCCTGTCTACATCTAATCCTTTGTAGTCAGCGTTTGATTCTGCATTTCTTAATAATTGGAGCAGAAATTCAGCAGACTTTTTGGGCCAACGGCCTTGTGTTGTTCCAAATTGTTTGGCTTGAGCGCAACGGCCTACACCTCCATTGAACCGTCTGAATGGAATGCACTCTTTTTGTTCAATAACATTTTTCAAGTACCTTACGGCACGGCGCAATTGCATTTTTTTGATTGCCATTGCGGTCTCATGGGTATTCTGGGGAAAAGAAATTAAATAGGTAAAAAAATTGGATTATAAATATGGCACATGAATCATAATATTTTGAAATAATTATTGTCCACAAATACTACACTTGTACTTCTGAAAGAAGTACAAGACTATTCGAGTATAAAAACCATTTGTTTTTCATGGGGTATATAAGAGTCCCTTTTGTATTTGACGTGTAACATTTATATTTACCTTAAAATGAACACGCAGATTTGAGCCTCTGGCCTTGCAGGATTTAGTTGCATTATCAGGTTCACGAGAGTACCGACCCATCTTTACTGAAAATATAAAACAAAATCTTTTAAAACACTTATTGTACCAACACGATCTTCATAACCTCACTATTGTATTTTTAGAACGTGATTTATTTGAATAGCACAGCACTAACTATGAATTAGAATATATGGATTACATTAAATGCAATTCAAGGTTTTTATTTATATAAATAAATTGTTCACAGATTCGATAACACAGCGGATGAATTCAGATTTTGAAGAGAAATTTTCGAAGCATACCTTTTTCTCATGCAACTCAACAGGAAAGAAAATGGAAGACCATTCTCAAAATACAGTCCGACATCGCGCTACCAACGGCACGAACTTAGGTACGAATTTCAAAACCGTTTTATTTGAATTTGAAAATAGATTATTTGTAAATGGAAATCAAAATTTACATTATTATTATAATTAACTTATAATAATATTTAAATTATTGCAACATAAAATACAAATAATATTAGAAACATTCAAAACCATTTCATAAACAAATTTTATTACAAAAACATATGAAATAACAAATATAAAAATATTTATATACAAATTTCTTTAATTAATAGATAATAAATTAAGTTTCTAAATTTTAGTAATACAGATATGTTACAGTTTCAATATTCAATAATGTAATTTTGATACAAAATAATCTGTACAACAAAAATCTAATTTATTATTTATTAGTTAAAGAAATTTGTACATATTAATATATTAAGTTAAGTTAAAATACTTTTACTAATAATTTGAATAATACTGAAAGCTTTTATTTATTTTGTGAAGTAAATTTAAAATAATCACATCAACTTATATAGGGTGTCCCAGAACTCAACGTCTGGACGAAACATTTGAGTGCTTGGTACTATTTTCAATTTTTATTTTTTTACTCACTTTTGTATTATAAAGTTATTAAATATTATACCATTTTAGAATCCTGATTAAATGTTCCAACTTTTGATATAATTTGCCAAAACACTTTGGTGTATTTTTTTTAAAGGAGGGCCTCTCAAAGTCGACCGATTTTGAAAATTTTAAATTCATACAGTCAACAAAAAGTTTAAATTATTATGGTACTTCTTTCGGTTTTTATTTTTGTACTCTCTTTTTTGTATCAAAAAATTATCAAGTATTTAATACTTCTAAAATGGTATAATATACCATTTTAGAATCCTGATTAAATGCTCCAACTTTTGATGTAATTTGCCAATACACTTTAGTGTATTTTTTTTAAAGGAGGGCCTATCAAAGTCGACTGATTTTGAAAATTTTAAATTCGTAGTTCAACAAAAAGAGTTAATTCTTAAAAACTCTATTCAAATGTGTCATTTTTTGACAATGGTCTTGGAAATTGTATTTACGATTACGGATCTAAAGTTTAAACGAATAAAAGTGATAAAAATCAACCACAATAACCAAAAAATGATCACATTTTTACCAAAACTCTAGGTTACACCAAAGGGCTGCACTAAAAAGCTTATAATTTACAGAAAACGTGATATAAAAAAAATATAATATTTTTCAGGAGAATTATAGTCAATACTATCACCCTGTTTTGGTTTGACGTTGAGTTCTGGGACACCCTATATATTTATTTGGTTTATTTACATTTTATAAAGTAGGTCTTAATTCTATCATAATTATTATACATTTTGAGTCCTCTAACCTAATAATGCGATTGCATTTCTTACTTTTCATTATTAATCGATTGTCTATTATTATTTATTAGGTTTTTTATAAGTCTTTGTAATATATAATATAATTTGAATATTGTATTCTTATACTGTCTAGGATCAATATATGTATGTAAGCAATCAATTAATATAATAACAAGTACTTTTTGTAACTCCATATGTACGAAATACATGGAGTACTTTATAATACTAGAATAGTATTAAAACACTATATTAAAAATATTATAAAATGTATCTAGTATCATAGCATAAGCTAAGTCTACTATCATTTATTATTTCAAATTTCGTGCCACTTTTTGACACTTGTCTCCGTGCCATCTGGCAACACCCCAATTGACCCTCGGTTCAAATGGCAATTTGACATTAGAGATCTTTCAACTTCAACCACTATCAATTTCTTAATTCACGTTGATTGCTTCTATAAGGTCTCGTCACTCTAATTATTATCAATTAAATCTAAAATGTACTTCTAAATTCCAATTCAGTATGTTGTGATAGTGGCCGACACGTATGTCGAGCGAAAACGCCCAAAGATAAACAAACCATAAAATGAATATGCTTGTGCAATAATAATAGATAGATAAGATTGTCTTGTAGTGGTAATAATAGTAATAGTTATTTATAAGGGGGCGTTTAGAATAATATGAATAAGATGTCTAAGAATAAATTGAATTTGACGTTGCCGCCGGGTGCTGTTGAGATGTCCACGACTACACCGACTTCGCAGACACCACAATTTAAATCACCATCAGCAGAGTAAGGGACATATAATAATTATAAATATAATTCATGCTTTATTTGTTATTTTGTTTAGTTCCTTGGTGTCTAAATCAAAATCCAGTATCGATGCCTTGACTGAAACTTTGGCAGAGATTGAAATGGATGATACTCAAAAACGAAGAATTGAAGTGTTTCTTTGTCAAAAGGAAAAGATTGGAGAACTTACTGATGATGATTTTGAAAAATTGGGTGAACTAGGTAAACACACAACTTATTGTACATCATTTCATCATGTACAATCAACTATCTATTACCACAGGTGCTGGAAATGGTGGAGTAGTCATGAAAGTGCGCCACAAGTCCACACAATTAATAATGGCACGCAAATTGATTCACCTGGAAGTAAAACCTGCAATTAAGAAACAAATTATTAGAGAATTGAAGGTATGTATATATATAATATAAAAATTAGTTTGTTATGCGTAACGATATGAAAATTCAGGTATTACATGATTGCAACTTCACTCACATAGTTGGTTTTTATGGAGCCTTTTACAGCGATGGCGAAATCAGCATCTGTATGGAATATATGGATGGAGGATCGCTTGATTTGATTTTAAAGAAGGCTGGGAGAATTCCAGAAGATATGTTAGGTAATTATATTATAAAGCAGAAAATTATTTAGAGGTTTATGTTAAGTATTTAATTCTACTATACAAGTTTTCTACTACCTACTTGTACAAAAAATAAAAACATGAAAATATTCCTTTCCTGAATTATAAAACTTCTGAAGTCCTTTCAATTTTGTTGAGTACATTAATTTATTTTTTAAAAAACACAATTGATATAAATAAAATTCTTGTTTTCATTATTTTCAACACTACATTATTTTATTATTGACAAATATATTATTAAGAATCAAATATAATAAGTCTAAATGTTTTTGAATTAATTAGTATTATAACTTTTATTTTTTTATTTTCTAGGTGTGATTACCTCAGCTGTATTAAAAGGCTTGAGCTATCTACGAGACAAACATGCAATTATGCACCGTGATGTGAAACCGAGCAATATCCTAGTCAATACTGCTGGTGAAATTAAAATTTGTGATTTTGGAGTCTCTGGACAACTTATAGACTCAATGGCAAACTCCTTTGTTGGTACAAGGAGTTACATGTCTGTGCGTAAATCTTTAAATAAATTATTTATTTATTTAATGCTCATTGCACTAATAATTCAATAAATAAAACTACAAATTACTATTATTAGAGTTATTTGAGAATAATAAAGCCAAGGTCTTTTCTTTTACCAATCTATTATCCTTTACCCAGCCTGAAAGATTACAAGGAAATCACTACTCAGTCCAATCTGATGTCTGGAGCCTTGGCCTCTCGCTGGTTGAAATGGCCATAGGCTGCTACCCAATTCCACCACCGGATGATGAACAACTGATGAGAATTTTTGCAGAGCAAGACCGAAGAAAAGAGAGAGGCGGTGAAGGTGGAAATGGTGGTGGTGATTCACCTGGACAGGTTGGATATTTTTATCATTGAGTTGTGTATATGTTTTTATGTTTTGTTTGGTCTTTGCAGCCTGGATCGCCTCGTCAAATGGCTATTTTTGAGTTACTGGATTATATTGTGAATGAGCCACCGCCAAGTTTACCTGAGAAACATTTTTCTCAGACTTTCCGCGATTTTGTGGATAGATGTTTGAAGAAAAATCCAGAGGAACGGGCTGATTTGATTACACTAATGGTAATAATTAGAAATCATCTTATATGATTGTAAATTTGTAAAGAAAAAAAGAAAATTTTGAAAAGAACTTTCTTTACAACTGTCAACAATTATATTGAGGTTATGTTTAATTCTGTAAGAATTGATAAACATGACAGTTAATTTTTAAAATTTGTTGCATAGACAATTTAAATAAAAATGTGAAGTAATAAAGAATTTATCTTATCCCATTTTAATTACTAGAAAGTTTATAAATCCTTTATCTCTTAGCTATTTTAATTCTAACATTATAAAAGTTAAAAATTCCATCAAAGAATGTACCCAACTGATCACATTTTTAATATTTATATTCATCATTACATTTTTTTTTTATTAGTTTTAGTGTCTTTATTACACCTGTGTCCCTAAAAGTGGTTAAAAGTAGACATTTTACTTTAATTTACCTTAACTTTTACACTTCTTTTATTATGCATTTTTTTCTTTTTCAATTACTTTTATTATTAATAATAATTATCATTTATATCAGTAGAAACTGAAATAGTAATTTAAAAAAGTATATAATTATTATTATCACTCTACTTATATTTTTTTCCATTTAGAGTCACGAATGGATTCGTCAAGCAGAGTCAGAGTCAGCTTCAGTGGACATAGCCGGTTGGGTGTGTCGCACCATGGAGCTGTCCCCAGGGACCCCGTCACAACAGCGTAATAATTCGCCTTTCTCCTAATGATGTCTGTCGCAAGCACACCGTGCTTCTCTTGTGAATTGATAATAAAATAGTCAACACAACAAACGATACAAGATCTCATTAATAACGTATGGAAGAATTTTTGAGGCCGAAAATAAGAAATAGTATGACTTAAGAGGTTTGTTAATTAAATACCAAAATACATAATTGAAATTAAAATCAACTTACAATAATGGCCTAAGAAATAATAAATGTAATGTTTTTATCAAGCAGTTAAATATTTAAACAATATTATGACCAAGCTGCAAAAAAGTGAATACCTAACCTGATTGACTCAAAAGTCAGTTTTCGAATTTACGGCATTGATGATACAATAGTTTAGTATATGCAAAAGTTTTTACATAAATTATTGAATACATTATTAGTCATTTTCCAAGTCTGTGTGATCGTGATTTGTTTTATATTTCAGTGAATAGTATTTTGAGAATATCAATCCCATGTATGTGATACTTTGTGCATTTTATGGTGTAATGTCTACTTTTAACCATTTTTAGGGACACAGGTGTAATAAAGACACTAAAACTAATAAAAAATGTAATGATGAATATAAATATACAAAATGTGATCAGTTGGGTACATTCTTTGATGGAATTTTTAACTTTTATAATGTTAGAATTAAAATAGCTAGGAGGTAAAGGATTTATAAACTTTCTAGTATTATATAGTCTTGGGTAAAAGATATATTCTTTATATCCTCGTCTTTTTATTTAAACTGTCTGTGCAACAAAATTTAAAAATTAACTGTCAGGTTTTTCAAATCTTATAGAATTAAAAATAACCTCAATATAGTTTTCGACAGTTGTAAGGTAAAGAAAGCTCTGTTCAAAATTTTCTTTTTCTTTCAAATACTATTAATTAAATACTAAAGAATAAAATGAAACTTATTTCTACATTTTCAAGAATGTTATCTTTATATCTACCATTGTACTCTGTGTGTCTATACTGCAATTATAATACAATTGAAACATTTGTGGAAAGTGAATGGTTTATGAATGTTCTAGTTTCTAGTATTGACTGTAAGTAATATTGTAGTTTTATAAAGAACAATTTGTATAAGAGATTTGCGGTATGTATATTAATTCTACTTATCTAAATACATGAGTAATTGACTTCCTCGGGCACCATAAAATTGTTTTGGTAATGGAAAAGTTTGTTTCAATTATTTTGAGTTTGAGAACCCGATTTTACTCATAATTATTACCTAGTTGTTTTAACAACCCAGGAAGATAATTATGTATTTTATATTATATGAACTATACTCAATTTTCTACTATTACATTTATTGAAAGGCATTTGTCGCACAGGTTTTTCACTCAAATCAAAAGAGTGTTATCACTTCTTAATATAAATAAGTCTCAAGTTTATAGATAGATCAAGTACTGAATTTAATACCAAAATGTATATACATCACAATTATTACATAATATATAAAACTGATCACTTTATCAAGCATTATTTTTTAATTTTAAACACATTTCAAGACATTTTTTATTCTCTGCTTTTTTAGTTTCTTCCTCCAATTTTTTGCGAAGGCTATTGAGTTCTTTAATGCGACTTTCAATGTGGTGAATGTCTAATTTTGGATCAAGTTTTAACTAGAATAAAAAATATAAAGTAACATTCAAGAAATAAATTTAGTAGATGTAAATAGTGCTTACATTAACACTTTTTAATTTCTCATTGAATTGGTATAGAGTTTCTTCATTCTTTTTGAATAAACGTTTTGTTTCACTCTCACGGCAATTTTCATCTATAACAATTTCCATTTCTTTCACATTCCTACAAAATATAAATATAAAGAAGTCTCTACTAATTATATGTATATATAATATTTTATATTTTATTACCTTAACATTGTGTTACACAATTCAGTCTCCTTATTAATTTGTTTAAGAACATTTTGATTTTCAAATTTTAAATTCATAATATCAGCCTTCAGCATCGAGTTGTTTAAACAATTCTGTGCGTACCAGATTTTGAACTTGTTCTCGGACAATTCATCAATACCAGTTTTTAACTGGTATTCTACAGCAGTCTTTAGAATTTCTCGAGCTTCTACATCCAAGTCGTCTGGGGATACTCCTAATTTATCTAGGTACTCTAGATTTCTTTTGTCTGTGAAATTAATTAAACATGAACAGTGGAAACATAGAGGGATAAGGTATTGTAGAATATACATACTTAATATTTTGTATTCTTTTGTAGCACGTTTTAGTAAATCGTCTATGTTTTCAATCGCATTGTCCCCCATTGTTAGGAATTAATTTTTATAACAACGTTTATATTATTCTAAAGGATATATAGCTAAATATATGTACAAATGGATATTTTATACCTTTAGCATATTTTTATGTATAAATAAATACAATTTTCATCACAAATCAAATAAATATGAATATTTTTACTAGGACAACGACATTTAAGTTTTGTATTGAAATTTGACAGTTCTATACAGACATGTTGTGCAACATGGCCGTCTAAACAGTTGTCAAAACTACTTTTATTTAATTAATTATTTATAAATAAAGCACGCACAAGCAATTGTGTCTTTATTATATTATTTACAATTGTGTAAAGAATTAATTGAGGTAAATATATTTATATTTAAAGCATTTTTGCACATTATCCATGTTTATTTTTATTTGTTTCTGTTATATTGGTCATATGTAATTATGTCCATTGCTTAGCAACTTCACTCTTCAGTATGTTTTCATTGCGTGACTTTTGTGCAATTCGTTTTGTATTTTTTGTGTAAAATAGTTTTTAGAAGAGAAATTATCGACTTTATACACATTTCGAGAATCATTACATACGTACAATATCAATGTGATAAAATAAATGATTGTTCTAACGATGCATCAAATAATATTGTGCGAAAAAATATCTGGCTGACGTCACAAATAACTCTTAGTGTGTACGACTCATTGTCATAATGCAATCGACATTTAATAAAATAGAATTGAAATATTAATTAAGTGTGATATCCAAAGCAATCTTTATTTTAAGTCTAAGTTACATCACCTAATTTGTCTCGTTGCTAATTAACTTCTTCAGTGTGTCAGTGTGCCCCCTTTGCCTAGCTTTCACTATCCACAAACTAATCTAACTTTACTAAAAAATAAACCATTCATCTGATGTTATTTTATTTTTGAAGACTGTTTTTGTTTTAAATTTTTTGTGTTTATATATCCCGTCAAATATATTTTTGAAGTTCCAACTAATCATAAAAAAATCTTAAAAAACCAAAAAAAAACTGAAAAAGATAATGGATTCCGAGGAAGAGGGTATTTACGACGATGTGGATTCTGGGAATGAATCTAGTGGAGATGATGATTTTGCTATGGAAGTCGAATCAAATCATAACAGGGAAAGGCAAAATGATGCTGAGGATTACCCCTTCGAGGTGCTGTCTACGGAACAAATTGTGCAACACATGGTGGACTGTATTCGGGAAGTCAATCTAGTTGTCGAGGTAAGTGACAGAGGGTACAGAAGCTACATATTAGTATTTATTTATTTATTTATTATCACAAACAGTATCACAAACATTTGTAAATATATCTTGACAGTTTATATTTGTTAGCAACAAAGCTAATACATCTATTTTATACTATAACAATTGTTATAGTTCTCTTTAAGGCTTAAGTCACTTATCTGTGTATGACTCTCCATTGCCGTTTCATACAACAGTGTCCAAAAAGGCTGTTATGAATAAACACCACAAAATATGCTTATAAACATTATCTTTTTTGTCACATAATCAATGGTTTGTATTTGTAAACAAGAATGGTAATAGTTTTTTTTTTTCAGAAACACCAAAATTGTCACAAAATAATTCTCTTTTTACGGACAAGATATTTTTTTAGGTTAAACATGAATGATTTTTATTTGTTAACAATAAAGGTTAGGTAACAAGAAAGGTAACATAATGATAATATTATAACAAGGCTCATGTTATTTTTCTGTGAGAGATTTATCATTACCGCAGTGCCCAAAAGAACTGTTATGGATTAGAAACACCAAAATTGCCACAAAAATATTATTTTTTTTTACTTTATTAGGTCTAATAAGAATAATGAGCGTTCATTTTTAAGTAAGCGAAAGACATACAATGATTATTTATTTAAAATAACAAAAAAACAGTCTTTAACAATCTCTAACAATTTAATAAATATTATAAACAAGCTTGATAAGAACCTTAATTAATTCTTATTATTATAAATAAATACCTAAATTATTCAGCATCTACCAGATTAGTTTCTCTAATTATTTTAACATCTTATTTAATTTAGAATGCAATAATAATTAAAATCATGAGAGTTGAAACTTATTCGTGAGCAAAGTATAATATGATTAATATTTAGTATCTCGAAAGACAGAATGTAATAGAAACAATATTATCATTTAATACTATTTATTTTGATATTCTGCAGCTCAACTTATTATTTAACTTTCAAAATTATATTTATTTTTGATAATACATGTCTTGGTAATTAACCATTTATTTATTACATTAAACTTAAAAAAAATAACACAATAATTTATTTTAAAATGTTTTAATCATAAACACAATGTTGTAATAAAAATAGTTTTATTTTTTGAGAAAGCGAAAAGCATATAATGATTATTTATAAAGGTTTACAATAATTTTAAAAATTATTGAAAGGATGTATTTGTTATACAGATTTGTTATACACATTCTTATTTAAAATTTCTTCCGAATAACAGTTTAATTTTAATTGTAACAAATATATTTTAACTAACTGTTTAATTCAGTATTAATTTATTTACTTATTCATTTATTCAACTCCCAAGGCAATAATACAGTATAATTACATTTTAAAGTGTACAAATTATTAACTATTTCTTTAAGTTAATAATTTAATTTAGTAATAGTTTCTTTTAACTTTAATTTGATTTAGTTATTACTACTTCGTCAATGAATTAGTATCAATTCTTATATTTTTCTTTCTCAAAGAGCTTTTTTTTTTCTAAATTTGGTAAAATCAAAGGTTATATATATATATATATATATATATATATATATATATATATATTCCTTTTATTTTTTCTAAATTTGCTGCAAAATTTAGAAGTAAACATTGCACAATTGTGTACACAATATATATATTTAACTGTTACGAGTTTCAATTATTTGTATATTTAGCACGAACAGATGAATTAAGATTTTTTCTCATTATATATATATATATATATATATATATATATATAAATATATATAAATTACAATTTTGCTTTCTTATTACAGTACAATATTTTTAAATATATTAAAAATAGATTGATTACATTTAAATCACAAATTGCATACAAGTAATATTTTGTTATAATAGATAGATAGATGGATACTTTTATTCAAATTGATTATTTACAATTCAAGATAATACTATTATTATTTTTATCACAATATTAATCTTAATTGGTAACAATTTAAATTGTAAATATAGAATTCGAATGAAGTATCTATAACATGTAACTTTATAAAATTAAGATTTCATATCATCATTTAAATAAAAACCTATTATCAGGTTTTTATCAATTGCTGAAAAAAAATAAAAATAATTCAAATATATTCAAATATTTTATAACTACATAAATTAATTTATGTTTTGTTAAAGTTTTGCTCATATAAAAATTTTAATTAATTTTTGCTATTTTTGATTACACAAAGCAAACTAATATGAGATATATTAATACATATATCTTATTCTATTTACAAATATTCCATTCATTGTCTTATTTGTTTAAACAAATATCAATTTCTTCAATGGCATTATGTTCTACAATGCATTATCTGTATTTACTATTATTTATTATTTATTGATTGCGATTCATCAATGAAAGAATATTTATTTTGTTTATTTATTCATTAAATCAAGAACATATGTTTAATGTTATGATTCAACAAACATTATCTTGACTTTCAACTTTGAGTCCTTGACTAATTCAATGTCAGCTCTCTTATCTGATAAGATAACAACAAATATCAATATAATAATAAATAGTAGTAATATATTTTTTAATTAATCTTTTTATTCTTTTCTTTAGATCCCTGCCACAACAATAAGGATACTCCTAAATCATTTCAAATGGGACAAGGAGAAACTGATGGAAAGACTTTACGATGGTGACCAAGATCAACTGTTTAACGATGCACATGTTATAAATCCCTATAGGTCACCACCACTAATTAGCAAAACGAAGGTAAAATAATAAATAACAACTAGTGCATTATTTACTGATAATAAGAATGGTTTTATTGAAGTTTGTTTTGTGTTTTTTTAGCCAAGAAAAACGACAGCATCAGGGACTGAAGAATGCGAGATCTGTTTCACTGTTTTACCTTCATCGGTGAGTAGAATAAAAGATATATGAGAATACTAAAATCTGTACAAGAGGGTAATTGAAAATATTATATTATATATATATATATATATATATATATATATATATATTAATAAATTAATACATTGTACAAATTTATATATATTTCACACAAGCTGTTGTGTTGAGGATCTAAAAAAAGAGACTCGATGGTATAAAAATGTGTAAAGACACTTTAGAATGATTTAAAGTATGATTAATACTTATAATAATATAGTCATGATGATAGTATTCTTTACTTCATATCGGTTTTGTATAATTTGTACAAATTCCAAATATTCATGTATTTTTACACTTATTCTTGAAGAAAATCTTTTCAATTATTTTTATACATCTGTGTAACTAACAACTAATTATTTTTATACCCTGAGTATTACATAAATGTTCCATTCTAATTTCTTTGTAGTAAATTGATATTTTCAATCACAGTCTCATCGAAGAATGATTATTACATCTTTCAATACATTAAGACCTACATATTTTATTCAATGTCAATTCCTGTATTGTAAATATTTTTAACTCTCAATATAATTTCAATACAATCATAGAAATTGATATTTTCAAATAGAGTTCAGTCGTATAATGAATAAATCTTTGAATTATGATGTTTTTGGTTGAAAAATTATACATAGCAAGATTAGTTTAATGCCACAATATGATAATATATAATTTATGAATAATTTATGATGAAGCCAAGAATTGAGAAGTAAATATAAATGCCAAATTTGATTATAGATGTAGATATATTAAGAAATCGCACGAACGCACCCAAATAAAAACACACAGAAGTAAATACATACACGGTGTACGTCCTAAGTGACTAAAATTTTTTATTTAATTAAATTTATAATTGGTCTCTCAATTTGTATAAAGATTTCAGTTCTATTAAACTATCTTTATTTGTTGCAGTAAATGATAATTTTTATTTATTTTCCGTTTCGTTCGCTTTTTTTTTGAAGTTATAGGTGTTTGTATACTTAAATAGAAATGCAATAAAAAAATGTGATAGATGTTGATAATTTGAATAATTTGCATTTGGTAAAAGTCCAAAATTGTTTCTCTCACGTGCCAAATCCGAAATAACTATAAAAAACAATGTATACAGTGCGGTGAACCGTGTCTGTATTTATTTTGGGACTTTAAAATGACTAAGGGGTTTTCCATTATTTATTTGGAAAATTGTTCAAGACGAAACTGTGTCACAAGTCTAGATATAAATCTAAACAAGCTGATTTTTTTATGTCTTCTAGAATGTTTATTAATATTTTTTTTAATTTTAATCATAAACACTAAAGTAACAACATTGGCAATAGCATTTGCCTATGAAGTTTTTTTATGTGTTTTACGAGAAGACTTATTGATTTTATTATTTGTTGTTCTTGTTATAATAGACATATTAAAGTATAACATACTAAAGTAAGAACATTCTACAACAAACGAAAGTATTTTCAAAAAATTATAAATATCAATTTATGACAGTTTTCGTATACTATTTTCTCATCAAAATATCTCAAAAATGTCTAAAAAAGCACATTGATTTTATTCTTCTCATTTAAACTTCACATTCAATTACGAATTATTCAAAATTTCAATATCGAAGTGTAGATAACAGTTTTTACTGGATTTTAGTAAATTTTATCTAGTTTTTATTAATGTAAATATATAAAGCTATATAAAGGAAATGATTAGAATGCCCAATATTTCAATATTTGTTGTTTAGGTATACTAAAAATACAACGTGTACCATTTTCATCTAATGACCAGCAAAAATCAACTGTATTATCTATTTGTTACAAATAATTCTTTCGAAAGTTTTAAAATTTTAAGATAAGTTATTTTGAAGTAAAATGCAAAATTAATAAGTATAGTAAGTAAGAAAATCCAAAACGAATAAGTAAAAAATTGCATATAAATTGATGTTAGTTGAATTTTAAAATTGATATGAAAGCTGTCCTCTTATTCTTAATCAACTATTCTTCAATGTTCCAAGGCTATCTACGCGTTCACAATTATTTTTCAATTATCCTACTCCTAAATCTAATTCTCTCTTAAATTCGCCTATTTTACTTATGTCCTCTAACTTTAACTTAATTAATAATAAAATAGATATTCACAACACTTCACCTAATCCAAAAATCACCATCTGCACAAGTTAACCTTTTTATTTTTTTTTTCAAATATCTCTATTTTTTTATCTTATTCTGTAAATAAATAATATTGTTACATTCTGTTTCATATGTAATTTTATGTTAAGCATTTTATGTTAATACCTATATATTGTAATTTTGTATATATTTCAATTGTTATTCATTATGTAAAATAATTGTATTTTTTGAGTTCTTTTGGAAGAAATCTGTGGGCTATATATTTAAAAATAAGTAAATAAATAAATATGAATAAAATTCATTACAAGAGCCTAAATTAAAATATTTCGAATAATTAAATTCATCATACTTATTGTCTTTTTCCAGATGATGACCGGCCTGGAGTGCGGCCACCGGTTCTGCACGCAATGCTGGGCCGAATACCTGACGACGAAGATAATGGAGGAGGGGCTGGGGCAGACGATCGCCTGCGCCGCCCACGCCTGCGACATCCTGGTCGACGACGCCACTGTCATGCGCCTCGTGAGGGAGCCGAGGGTCAAGCTGAAGTACCAGCACCTCATCACCAACAGCTTTGTAGAGGTAATAGGAAATAGATAGGACGAATATAATGGTAATAAGCTAATATAATAATGTTGTGTCTTTTTTAGTGTAATCGTTTGTTGAGGTGGTGCCCTTCGCCTGATTGCAGCAACGCGATTAAAGTGCAGTACGT